GATTCTGCTACGGCCGTCACCTTCTGTCCCCAGCTCTACTTCGACAACAGGTACATAAAAATTCTATAAAATAATCAGGTATTAAGTTAAAACAAAAAAATATATGTATTTTTGGTTTGTTAAACTAAAGTGCTCATTAAAAAAAAAAGATACTCTATCTCCTTCCTGCTCAGTTATCTGCTGGCCGTGGGACTGGAGTGCGGTCGGATAATCGTGTACGGGTGGAGGCCCGGCGGAGATCGTGCCGGAGGCCAAGACTGGATCAGATACGGAGAAACAGACCCTTCGTATCCTTCTGCCAGGCTTTTGTCTGTCTCTCCATCTCATATTCAATCTTTCTGTCCTCCCCGTAGCAGCGCGTTAGTCCTTTCCTTGTACCCGCGTGCATTTGCGTCGTTTTACCTTCACCACGCGCCGTCCAACAGACAAAGTCACACTCTGGCCATCAAAAGGTTGCGCTGGAGGCCCCGCGCGGGCCGAGCAGGGGTCCCGGAGGAGCGCGCCTGGCTGCAGCTGGCCAGTGCTGGCGCCGACCACGCTGTCAAGATCTTCGACATCAACACAGAGGCTCTTTAGCACCACCTGTTGCCACCCTTGTGCACAGATAACTATAAGAAACCATGTTTTGTTTTGTTTTTTTTTTAATTTATACTGACCAATAAACAACACTTTTTTTTGTATGATTCTGTGCAGTCAGTCAACAGCAGAGGAGGCATTGTGTTTAACCATATGGGTTGCAAAATCCGTGAATTTCACCAAACTGAGGGGAATTTAGGGGGCGGGGGGGGGGCAAGTTTCCTCCTCCAAAATTCAGTATGAACCTGAGAGTCAGACAGTCGTCATTTTGCTGTGTGACTTCAATGCTCTCGTGGGCAATGACGGTGAGATGGGACTCTGGAGGGAGCTGACGGGTACGGGATCATAATTTTTATGGACGTAATTTCTCAGCGCAGCAGACGTATTGAGGGCGTCCGTTTATGTAGATTTAGGATTACATCTCTGTTTTTGCAGATGGTGTTGTACTGTTGACTTCTTCGAGCTGCGATCTATAACTCTCACTGTCGTGGTTTGCAGCAGAGTGGGAAGCGGTTGGGATGAAAATCAGCACCTCCAAATCTGGTCCTCAGTTGGAAAAGGGGATGAGGTCCTGCCCCAAGTGGAGGAGTTTCCTCTGAAGGGTTTCCGGGCTCTCCCCTATGACATAAGGTGAGAAGCTTGGTCACCCGGGAGGGACTCAAGAGTCGAGCCGCTGCACCTCTGCATTGAGGAGCCAGATGAAGTGGCTCAGGTAACTAATTAGGATGCTCCTGGACGCCTCCCTGCTGGGGTGTTCCGGGTATGGGAGGAGGCCCAAAGGACGACCCAGGACATCGTGGAGAGAACGACGATGTCTCCTAGCTAGCTTGGAAACGCCTCGGATTCCTATGGGATGAGCTAGACGAAGTGGCTAGGGTGAGGTACGGCTGGATTTCTCAACCCGGGTGGCATATTAATGCTTGGATGCCCTTGAAGGTTTCTTGAGGAAAAGATGTCTGGAATGTGCAGTGTTTATAAAAAAAAAAAAAAAAAAACAGGACTCCTTTCTGTCACTTTCAGTCTCACTTTATTCAACAATGATGTGAAACGTAAAAGGCTGTCCAGAACATTCAAACAAGAAAAGAATGTTGCTTTTGAAATCCCGCTCACAATTATCAACCCACATTTTCCCTCGCACCCACCCATTCCGGAATAACAACTAATGACTCTGAGAGAGGAGAAAAAAAAAAAAAAAACACGAACCATCAGGTGTTCCAAAATGTGATACTTATTTTATACAACGGTTCCATAATGTATACCTCGTCTGTACATAACAGTTACAGATACTGTAAATAAAGGTTTAAAAATAAGACATTGGAAAAAAAAAGGAGACGACTTCCAAAGTACCTCGGTGGCATATTTTGTGAAAGAAATGTAAAAATGGTACTTAAAAGATCTTCTCCATATACTTTTTGTTTAAATATATCTATGTATTTTATATATATTCATATATAAATATCTATATACTGCAGTTCACTCTGTCTGGTAACAGAAAACAAGTTATTGCCCTTCTTGAACGCAAGTTTTGGTGACTATTCCATTTTTAATGGATGGCAATATTAATAGTAATAACTTTATTGTTATGAAGTAAAGCACAATCAAAATAACTTTTTTTTTCTCACAAAGAAAATTTATGATGAGTCAAAAATGTTGAGTATTTAAAAAAAAAATTATATGTTATTTTTTGGAGGGAAAACAGAAGAAAAATTTCAGATCCCTTTAGATTTTTTTGGGGGGGGGTAATTTTTAAATTTTTCATTTATCAGGAAAAATATATTTTTTTAATTCCATGACGGAAATTTCTTAACAATTGTTAAAGCGTCCTCTTTTTACTCATTAGATTTAAGTCGTGTAATATCAGCACTTTCCCCCCACCAAATTTCATTTGAGAATATTTATTTAGATTATACAGAAAACGGCAAGAATCATGCATTTTTTTTCCTCAAAGTCCTTAAGAAACCAAATTTAGAATTTTGTTTTAAACAACTATTTCATTGTGGATTTTAGGCTTTAACGTCGGTAGTATTCAGACTTCTTGATCAAGTCAGAACACCCCCCTCGGTTTGGCGTCACCTTACCGTGGTGGAGGGCTTTGTGTGTCCCAAAGATCTGAGGAGCCAACTTGTCTGGGGGGGGCTTTAATGGCCCTAGGAGGGTCACCCGTGGCAAACTAGCTGAGGGACCAGACAAAGCAGGGCTAAAAAAAACAACAACAAAATGCTTATAAGCACAATACATGGAACTCGTTGTCCCTTGCCTGGATGTGGATCACCAGCCACCCACCTCGATAGTCAGGTCTGGGGGTGTGGCTTGCTGGCAAGCGCATGATGGCCGGGCACGGCCCAAAAAAGCCAACGTGGGTCCCCCCCGGCAAAATTTGATAACAGGAAGTGAAAAGCATTTCCGGAATCCAATTTTAATCTCGTAGTACCCCCCTGCCCCCCCACCACCCCCCCAAAATAAAAAATCATCTCGTACGAATACAATTCATTATTTTCTGTTAATTGGAAAAACCCACAACTTCATTGCCATACGACTCGTCATTTTTTTTCCTTTTTCACTGTGGCTCTCTCAACACTCCTTTGTCATTTTTGAAATCGAAAGACTACGACTGATGGACCCCCCCGAACCACCCCAAAAAAAGAGAAACAGCAAAAACATGTTATTTGGCAATTAAAAAAAAAACAAAAACAAAATAAAACGGTGCTCAGGATGGTTTTTTTCTGTCTGCTCACCTGTTATTACAATTCCAAAAGGAGCTTTTTTTTTGTTGTTGTTGTTGTTTTTAAAGTACTGGGAACGTCACGAGGACGAGCAGCAGATAATCTGTGTGAAGTCTACATTTGATTTCATGCCATCTTGAAAAACACCCCAACGATTAATAAAAAAAAAAAAAAAAAAAAAATTTAAAAAAAACATCCATGGACACCTGTGCTCAAAGGATCAGCAAATTGTACACAATCACATAGAATGTCACAGAATAGAAAATGTCCGCTTGGATTTTGTTCAGCGTCTCTCTCTCTCTCTCTCTCTCTCTCTCTAAATGGACTCGGCTGGGAAAGGAGTGCTACTTCTGCGTGAGCCTCCCGGAAAGGGGGCGGAGCTGCGCTCTCCCATCTTTGAAAGTTCACTTCCCGCTCCTTTTTTGTTCCCGAGTCAGAACTCGAGTCCAGTTTCTGCTCGCTGAAGAAAGAGAAGGAGTGCACTCCCCCTGCCGTCCCGTTATGCGTGTGTGCGTGCATGTGTGTGTTTGCGCCACGACGACGGTGAGTGTAGAAAGACGAACAGGCACAGCGTTTAAACGGACGCCTTTTACAAAAAAAACCCCAAAACAACAAAAAAAAACAAAAAAAAAAAAAAAACCAAGACACCGATGGTGAAAAACAACAAATTTGCTCCAAATAACCGAAACAAGATACAGTTATCTCGACAGAGGCCAGCCGAGTGTGCTTTGACGCTCTGACCCTCTTGGCGAGGAGGGGAAGAAAAAAAACATGGAAATCGGGGATCAATATGATCGCGATAGACAATGCGGAAAATTTCCACCAGCCTCGAAGGGGTATTTTGTAGCTGCTGCAACTTTTTGGGTCCTGGTAGAATCATCTTATTGGACAAGTGTGACTTTTGGACTTTTTTATTTTTTTTTGTTGCATTGTTTTGCTTGCAAAATGACAAATTTATTCCTGGAAATGTTGAGTCTCACTCAGAATTTTGTACGATGACTTTGTGTCGTAGTCCGCATTTCTATTGTGACAATTCACACATTGTCGAAATATTAGAGCATATATTTGTCATTAAATAACGGATATTTTGTCAAATTTATAGCTGGAATGAATTTCAATTTGTCATGTTACCAGAATACATTTGTCAGATTATGACACGGAGGCGGGGCCAGTACTTTTACACAGTGCCGTAACCATCCAAATCCAAATATCCAAAGTCGAAAATATCGTGATCAAAAGGAGGAAAATCGTAATTTTGCAAGTATAATTTTGTCACATGGCTCCAATCTAGATGATCAACTTCTACTCGTAATGCTTGTCAATGTGTCACATGTCGCACCTTGTCGCTTTCCGCACGCCGGACCAACGCCGTCGACATCCACGGTATCCCGAAACGATATTTACAAACGTCACAAATTCGAAAGAGCTGCGGCGTAGGGGGGGCGGGGGCGAGGCAAGAGACGGCCTAACCCTTAAGGCTACGCTGTGGTCGCCGTCGTGGGTGTTTGGCGGCTTTGCTTAACTGCCCGCCACGTTCTGCGGGGAGGCGCGAAAGAGCGTCGCTCTCTTCCGCGCGGATGCTCGCAGTCAAGTCTGCTGTAGAAACGACACCAAACACACAAAAAGACAGCTGTGTGCATGTGTGTGTGTATGTGTGGGTGTGTGTGTATACTGGAAGGGTGAAGGCGCGGTCAGTCGGCGTGGCTCACAGGCCCGACACCATGACCCGGTAGGAGGGCGGCATGTGTCTGTGGCGCGGGCTGGATCCGGGGCTGTCGGTGGGGCTGGTGCAGCTGGCGTCCACGCCGCCGATGGATGGGAGGTAGGCGTGGTGCAGGATGGGCAGCTGCAGGGACAGCCGGCGCTGGATGCTGTGTACGCAAAACCCACAGAAAAAAAAAACAAAAAAAAAAAAAAAAAAAACACATCTTGTGTTAGCATGACAACATGTTCAAAAGCCCCAGTTGGATTACGGTATGACTCATACGAGGTGGAAAACTCATTGAAAGCCCCCCCCAAAAAAAAAACTCAACAGGGGGAAGTAAACGACTAAGATGATGCCGTTACATAAGTGTACACCCCCCTCCATAACTAGAGGCTTGCTTAAGAATGAATGAGTCAAACTTCTGCTAAATGGGAGTCAGCACAAAGCTGTTACCATTTCAAATGACTAAGATCAAATGAACTTGAGGTGTTTTAGATGGCTTTTTTTTTTAATCCACTGTATATGGATGGTATTTAACAGGATGATGAGATACAGTTGTCAACAAAATCTTAAGGTTCAGTAAATTACTTTTTGTTCCCACATACAGTATTTAATCTCTTCCCCAAAAAATATTTGGAGTTGTTTTTTTTTGTAATATTGTTAAAAAAATAATAATAATTCTGGTTTTGTACACAGAATTTTCGCAACATTTTTAATTTCATTTAATTTTGTAAAATTGTAATTTTTTTAAAACTTTGTTGTACTCTGCCTTTTTTCCTCACCAAATTATCAATTCATACACATAATTTTATTTTCCGGAAAGTTACACATTAATATTAGTAATCTTTAATACAAATGTTACCCACAAATTAGAACTTTAGAATTTCAAGTTTTCGACCACGCAATATTTTGCCTGCCTTGCCAAGGTGTCGAAAAAGCCGTCTCCATCTTTCTTTTTTCTTTTCCTTATTTTCCTTCCGCCGGCGCGCAATCAAACATTCATCGGACCCGGGAATAGCTGCCAGTGCTTTGGTCTATTTCCAGCGCCGCCTTACGTAAGCCTCTTCCCGACATTCTACCTGTCAAGCTCGGCGTTTTGGCGAGTGCGCGTTGGCGGCGCTTCCGTAAATGATGCATGACGACCATGCGACGCGCTCATGAATTATGAGGAAAAAGAAGCCGAGGCGACGAGTCCGGCGTGCGTGCGAGGCAGCGTGGGCGAGGAACGTTGGTGCGAGGAGCTCTCGCAGGGTTGCTGTTGCCACGGCAACCGCTGAGGAACTGCTACGAGCGACCCCCACCCAAAAAAAGGTGGTTTTTATTCGGGAGTACGGGAGAAGTGGGGTGGCTTACTGTTCAGGAGAGTTGATGTCCTCCAAGGGACCTCTGGTGATTCTAGAAGGATCCATGGAGCCCCACTGGCCCTGAGGCTTCTGCTCCAGGTGGTTCTTCAGCAGGCTCCGGTCGGCGTCTCCACGGCAACACAAAATGGAGGCGGGTTTTAGGAATGGCAGTGGTTGGTCTGCCACAGTCCATTGAGAAAAAAAATGCTTTTTGCTATCTTAAAGCAATATGTCCCTTTCTTTTAGTTTCTTCCAGGGGTGGTTTAGCTTCAGGTTTTTTTTCTTTTTTTTGAGGGGTAAATAAAAAAAACAAGTGAGGCAATTATAAATGATACTCATAAAATGTTGACTATTCACAGAATCCCAAAACTTATTTTTGAATGATTTCTGATTTATTTTAACATTACAATTTAGGTCATGATTTTTGTGATTATTATTCTGGGATTATTGATTTTTTTTTTCTTGCAAAATTAAAAGAGTCGAAGTAATATGTCGCATATTTTTCTTGCAAAATTTGGACGGTTACGTCCCTACAAATTTGTCTCGCCAAATTCTCAATATGTGCTAATATTTGCAATTGTTTCTCGTAATACTGTAATACTCGTAGTTGTAATTTTATTCTCATATTCGGTTTTACTTAATTATTATTTATTTTCGAAAATATTTGGTCATTTGTGCGTGTTTCTGTCCTCCTCAGTTTTCAACATAGAGAAAAACGCTCCGACTCGCGGTGGTAGACAATCAGACGAGTGGATGATTGGATACCTTTGCAGTCAGCGAAGTTGCGTATGCTGAGGATGTTGTTGGCATCCGGGTAGTGGTTCTGTTTGATGTACGGCGTCTTTTCCGGGGTGTCCTGCAGCTGCATGGTCACTTCCTCCAGCTCCTTGTCCAACTTTTAGACAAATAGACATAAACAGCCACACAAAAATGTTTGGTCAAGCGCTAATGGTTCATGTTTGGAAACGTTGCCGTCATGCTTTTCAGGGATGAAAACGTCGTTTCGCAGGTGTACTGGAGGCTTCACATTTGGCGGACAAAATCTCTCGGGCAGGTTTGTCACAGCTTCTTAAGACCTTTTTTGTGGGTCTGTTCATGTTCTACCAAATTTCATGTGATTATGTGAAACCGACTCTGGGGTGTGAATGATGAAGAAAATTCTAGTGGGTGCTACGAACCCCAAATAGCCATTTGGAACGTCCTGTCTTTTCATTTCTTGAGACTTTTTTTTGTGGGTCCACGATTTCCCGCTGTCAATCGAAAGAGTCCCGAGGACGCCTCATCATAAGAACACAAAGCATTTGTCCACGAAAGCGCTTGGACTCTTGTCGCACCTCGGTGATCCTCATGCGGAGGCGGTGGTTGTCGGTCTGAAGGCCGTCCAGTCTCGAGGTGTTGGCCTGGTTGACGCTGGTGACCGAGGTGGAGGTCTTGGAGTCTTCCTTCTTCTGGTTCTGCGTGAACTTGAGCCTGCGGTTCTGCGTGGCGGCATCCGGGTTGGTCCTCATGGTGATCAGCTATGGAGAGGGTGACGTGTTAGCATTTTAGCTAGGCTTCAATGTTTCAAACTTGGGACTAGTCACCTTGGGAACAAAGACCAGGCAGAGCGTGATGGTACTGCAAAAGATGATCACCAGCGCCACGATGCAGAACTGCACGTTGGGCTGGTCTCGGGTGAGGAAGGAGACGGCGGCGCCGATGATGCACATGATGCCGACGTTGTAGACGCTCATGCCGATGTATTTGCTGTCATTCAGGGCGGGGATGCTGACGTTTCTGGTCTCCCAAGCCAGGAAGCAGCCGAACAACTACACAAGAGGAAGGCGGTGAGAGAGGTGTCGCCTGGAAGCGCGACAGAATGCGCCCGGTGTTGCCGCACCATCAGAAGGCCCTTGTAGGCATAGACGATGCCCAGCCAGATGGTCATGTGGGTGCTCTCGCAGTGCTCCAAGAAGGGACGGATCGCGATGTCTCTGTCGTGAGGGTCCGCCTGCTCCAAAAGCACAAAGAGAGACGATGCGGGAAATGTGTCAAGTACAAATACATCCAAAAATGGGCAGACTTCCCGTTCTCGTGATAGTCACAAGTGAAACTGGCAACGGAGGCTGAATTTTTCATGAAAACTGTCGAGGGTGCTACCAACCCCAAGCGACCACTCTTGACCCAGAACGGCTTTTTCGTCACGTCATCGTTTCTTGAGACCGAAGCGTTTGTGGGAATCCTCGCTTTCCATTCCGCATTCTCCCAAGTGGATTTCAATTAATCCATGAACAAATGGCACTAATGGGCGAGAGTAATCTGCAATAATAATGAGATTTACGCCTCCTGGTGTGCTCTGTTTTCATCGCCTCTAATCTCACACGCATATTCCCACTCACTTTTGTCTCAAAACAACCTGAAGATGGCATCTTGTGTGCCACAATCCGAGAGGGAATATTTCTTGAGTGGGACAGCGGCAAGCTCCGAAAAGCCAGCAGTGACGAAGAAGGAGAACAAATTGGACCAAGACATGAGATGACTCACAGGTGCGCCAAAGGGAGCCATGCAGAAACACAGAAGAAAAATCGTTTCTCTTCTCAATTATTTAAAGATAAAGAAATGCATTCAGAAATGTTTCATTTTCTGTTCCCAGACCACATCAAGGCATGCTCGGATTAGTCTGACATGAGAAAAAAATAAAATAAAAAACGCCAAGCATCCAAATTCTTTTGTTCCAGCAAAATTTTGAGCGTTACTGTGTATCAACATTTTTGTCGGCTCAGTGCTTGTACATCTCGAGTCGGCAAACTTTTTCGGCAAAATAAATCAATCAATCATCAAGTTAAATGATGTAAAATACTGAAGTTTAATAACGTGTCACTTTTATTGTGAAATGTTCTTTTTTTACTATTAAGTGAATTCTTGAGAAACTTAAATGTCTTGAGCATGTGTTTTTTTGTACGATTAATACATCAATCAAGATAAATTCATTAAAAAATAGATTTAAGTCACAGAATGTTATGATTATTTATTTATTTTTTTAATTTAAACCCCTGGTTTAAATTATGTGCCATTATGGGCGACAAAGCCAATTTCAGTGCGGTGTTCCACAGGGAAGCCTTTGCAGTCCATGATTATTTTACATCACAATTTTATACACCTGTGATGGGAGCTATTAACTAAAATTCCAGCCCATTATTCTGAACACCACATGCACATTCACGTCTTTGCAGGTTTTTATACCGACAATGACGGCGGATTTGTTTGTGTATTGACTGTGTGCTAAACAGCATTGCTGCAGACGACCCCCCCCCCCAAAAAAAAACAAAAAAACGATGAGAGCAAATGAGTTATAACGCTCATTAGGCTCGCATGCCTATCGCGGCGCGACAGGCAGGAAATATCTGGGGAGTTGCCAGGCAACGGGGGGAGGACGAGAGGAAGGCAAAAGGCACCCGTCCACTGTCATTTCTCACGGCATTAGGTCCGTGACGGGAGGGCCGCGAGAAGAGTTACATGAGCCTGGCGGGGAGTGACAGGAGAAATGGAGGGTGGGATGGAGATGGATGACGGGATAAGAGATCAAGGCGTTGCGGGATAAATTGAAGATAGGAGACAAGAATGCGGGCCCAGAGTGGAAATGATGAGCCGGAACGGACCTCCCCCCAAGGCTCGTATGCTTAAAAATCAACATGGAATGCTTCTTTTTTTTTTTTTGTCTACATATTTGTTTTTATTAAGAAATGTTTTTTTTAATTAATATTTTTGTGATATATTTTGGTCGTTTTTGGGCCACTCTGACTTCAATCATAAATAAATATGCAAAACATTTTCATAGTTGTGTACAGTTAATAATCTGCATTCAATTGGATCCAACATGATGGATATAGACCCAAAGCCACCATTTAAAATGTCTTGAGTTGACCTCAAAGTTCAGATATTCTAGTAGGCTTTTGCTGGCATGTTTTTGGGGGTTTTTTTTTTTTTTGTTGTTTTTGTACTTCCTCTCTTTTGTGCCTCAAATGGGTCCTAGGTCACATTTACCCCATTAAAAGTGTTGAAATTAAATGATCTCGGTCACTTTTTCTAATCTCCTAAAACCCTGTCCCATGAACAGGGGTGTGTAGACTTTTTATACGCACTGTATTTCTGGGTGCGAGTAACGTGTCATGCACAGGCAGGCACCCGAGCAGCAATTGGAATACAACGTGGATCAAGTGTGACTACATTACAAAGTCCAGAGGAGGACGTGAAGGAGTCCCTGTCTGGTGCTGCTGCCATTGCTGCAGCTGTGCCCCCCCCCCCCCAGGCCCCAGCTGACCTGACCTACATGCACGCCACCACACTTCCTCCACACACCGCAACCGACTTGTCTTCCCGCTCGCATGAGGACCAGCTTTCACACGTTACGGTGAGTACTCCGTGCCACTAATATACGGTCCAAATTTGCTGACGCATACGATTTGAACTTACCAATGAAAATAAGACCTAACGCACAGTTTGCACAGGGATTCTTTTAATACTGTTGTTTGGCATTTTTCTTTTGATCGGGGATGCGAATTGATTAAAACAATTAGATTGACTGAAAATCTGATTCATTTGTCAATGTCATGCAAATTCAGGAGAAGGGACGATTTTTTTTTTCAGTGTGAAACTTCTGCTTGGCTTAAGATGAAGTGTAACCAAGATATACACTCCAAAGATTTCATGCATTTTCTTGCCATAATTTAAAATCATGGGGGGGGGGCGGAAATGCCCCCAGTCAAACTGAGCATTTGAGAAACAAATGTAAAAGACATTCAACACGAGTTTTTTTTTTCCTTTTTCACTTGGAATCACGACGGCGATGTATTCTTCTTCATGAGACCTTGCAGGGTCCATCCTTCTTCCTAATTATGATAAAAGCATCTCTTTGCTTAAATGATTGCATTTGAATATCAGGCTCCCCCCACTTTCTTTTCCATGGCAAGGCGCTGTGTAATCCCATTTGAGGACTAATCCCTCTAATAGAAGCGCGGCCGGCCGACCTTTTACGCGGCTGCTGTGCCGAGTGGCCTGATGAAACGGCGAAAGCTTTTTTTTTTCCTTCTCCAGCTAAGTGGCACACTTGTGACAAAGGGGAGCCGCAAAGCCGTTTTGACAATTTGGTGATGGGAAAGAAATAAAGAAAGAAAAAAAAAACTACCCAAAATGAAAATAGAGTAAAAAAAATGTTTTCCACTGTGTACAATTTAAAAGTGAAACTTCCTCTTAGAGATGTACACTACTGCGTAGCAAAACCAAAACTAAGTAAAACTACTCGGTTGTAGTTTACCACTGGATAAGTACTTACCCTTAACCCTTTTATGCACAAATAATGAAAACCTGACAACCTGATAAGCTGTCCAATGTAGTAACCACTGTCCCTGAAGTTAAGCCCTTCAGCGATGTTTCCCACGGTGTTATTAAATTAAAATTAAATTAAACTACCGATATTTAATGAGATGTTTACCATGAAACTAAAACAAAGTACCACCCACCTTATTAGATTTTAATTCATTTGGATGTGAATAATAATGGAATGTAATTTGATGCCGTTACATTTTTACACATACAGTCATACCTCGGTTTTCGACCATAATCCGAAAACCAATTTGTTTGAAAACCGAAAACACTCTTTTAAAAAAAAAAATAAAAATCTTTATTGAACACGTCCGCTCACAATGGAACGCTACACAAGGAAGCGTCACTTCCTCGTCTACCCGAGGAAGTGTCACTTCCTCGTGTGAGGAAGGCGAGAGGAGTCAAGTGGCGCATTCAATTGCGCTCAGTTTGGTCGAGAACCGATTTTCGGTCGTAATCTGAGGCATAAAAAACTCAAAATTTTTGGTCGAAAACCGATTTGATCGAGAACAGAGACGTTCGAAAACCGAGGTTTGACTGTATTGTCATCGCTCAAGGTGAAATTCTGCTGTATATCATCACAGAATAATACAACAACAACAAAAAAAGAAAAATCCACTCCCATTTTTGGGGCATACTGTCAGAATCAATAAAATCCCGCTCTAAGGACAATTTGGTCACAGCTTTTTAAAATGAATCACATCACATGGCAAAATCCCCTAAATTTGGTCAACAGAAGAGACACACCGGGCACAAGAAACAAACAAACAAACAAAAAAAAAAAAACTTGGCATTTTAGCATCGCCAGTAAATTGGCGGCGCAAACGCACAAATCAGAAGAATTACAAGCACACATGCACGTGTCCAGAGAAAGTAGCGTAGCGTAGCTCCCAGGGCTCCAGCATGGAAGTGCCTTAACTGATTTATTAGTAGCTGAACGCGTCATTAGCGTAAGCGGGTAACCCTGAAACGGCAGCGCTCATTTGAATATGTAAATGCCAGGCAGCCTGCTTGGGCTTGCTTTTTGTTATGTGAGCCAAGCCGCCGACTGTGTTTTTTTTCTTCTTCTTTTTTTCACGCCCGCCGTTCGTTATCCGCTTTTCCGCAGCGGCGCCTTCCATCTGCACGTGTCGCGTTAACTGCCCGAGGCCGTGAAGTTGCCGCCATTTGTTTGCTTTGTGTAGCGTCGGCGGGCAAGCTGAGACGCATTTGTGGCGAGGCGTTAAATGCCAGTGAAGTGAAAATACTGCTAATGAGTTGCGGCGTACTGACGGAGATGGCGGGGTATTAAAATCCCAGCGCAGGCGGCGAATCTTTTTCGTTGGCACGTCTTTTGCCCCTCCCGAAAAACATTACGGGCAACGATTCTAATATCGGTACTGCTAAGTTTTGCTATTATCATTTTTTTGTTTGTTTTTTTGGTTCTGGGTTACGGTTAAGATCAGAAGAATGTGTGGAAAAAAGATTTTGTTGAGTAATCGATGTTAACGAAACAAAACGCGAGGAAATGTTTGTACAGTGGCACTGCGCTAAAAATAAAATACGTAGATGGTTCAGTGCAGTGGTGTTATGAGTTCGGCCATGATCGGTTCTGCTATCGGTTCAGCTATTATGTCTGACAGTCAGGTT